TGGATCGTCGGTCAGCGCAGGGAGGGCAGGCTGGGGAGCCGGAGAGCCGGTGGCCCGCAGGCAGCCTGGGCAGCAAAGCTGGATTCCTACTTGCTTTCACATTTTCATCGCTCCCGCTTAAATACGTGTTGCAGAAAACATCCAGCAGCGGGGAAATGCTTGTGAGAAACCACAGTGAAAGAAGCCGTAGAAAAATAATTTATTCTTAGGTCCTAATCCTAAAAAAAGAATAAAAAATAATAAATCAATGCATTCCTATGAAATCCATTTCAGCTGATGAGAACCTGCTTGTGTGTGGTGCCTTAAAAATGTATAACAAGCATGGGTCCTGTCCTTGATTTTGTTGGAAGGCTGGGTATGGGTTTCAGAGCATTTCTTTCCTTTTAGTAATTATGGTCAATCCATATGTTATAGCATCCAATAGCTTCTCTCTTTGAGATTTGAAGTACAGTCATTTGAGATCTAATAAAAATAGTAGGGATACTCAATGACACCGTTTCTATTCCTTCTCCAGCCCAGCTTCCTGGTGATGGACGGCACAAACTGGATTCCTAACGCACGTTTCAAGAATCGGCACATTAATGCTCAGTCTGATAGCGTTACGAGTCAGCAACGCATGAGCTGGCTTTACCCCGCAACTGATGCTGAGTCTTCTGGGAATGGGGGAAAACGTGTTCAGATAGAGCGGTACCGCATCCCACTGAGAGCCTGCAAACAGCGCTGGTTTACCTCTCCTGTGGACCACAGTAACATGCCAACACGCAGAGGCCGATTGCAGCTACCGCCTATAACCCAGCCCAGCTCCTCTAGGGTCTTAAAAGAAAAATTCCCTTTGTAACAACACGGCTCTACAGGTCTCATCCCTGGAGGGGTGAAAGCTGTTGCATGCAGGGCAATCCTGCTCTTAAACACTTTGAATATGGGGCTGGCAAGCTCCGACCTCCCTGTTGCTGCTCGTTGCAGGATGCTAACTGGGAATTTTATGTTAAAATGCCAGAACTCTCCCCAGGTATCAAATGTTTGTGGAGATACATTTACTGGTGAAATCTTTGCTGTTAAAACTGAACTTCTGTGAAAAATCGGATTTTTTTTTTTTTCATAAAAATGTAACTGTGTGGGCTGGCGTTTGTTTTCAGCTTTTAGCAAGCCTACTCAGTTTATAATTTTCAATGAAAAGTTAAGATTCGACTTTCTTTCTGAAACAGACACATCAAATCTCAGATGTCCACCTATGTGTTTCCCCCGTGGTTCCACAACTTTGGCCATATATATATATATATGGCAGTTACAGGTGCAAATACACCAGAGGAAATTCCATCACGAAAGACTAAAAACCAGCACTGATACCCTTGCACTGCATTTTTATTGCACAATAAAATTTGTTCATGGTTTCTGTACTTTACTGCTAATGTCTTGATCTCTTTTTAATCTTGTCAGGCAGACCCTGGTCTGCATGACCATTGACAGATCCAATACCGAATACATCTTTGATGGTTCCGGCCCTAACACTTGTTGCTGAAAACATTGCAATGATCAAACAGGAAAGACATCTTGTTCAGAAAATGGAGACAGCTGGGTGTTGTGCACAGCAACAAATCAGCTGCCAGTGGGTGGAACTGATACTGTGGTATATGGTTTGCATTCTGAGGACCGATGTCTTCTGCCTCTGATAATTTATTTTCTTATATGCCACAGATACTAACTTGTAAATCTGCTTTAAAACCACACATGCTCTTTTCTGCATGTCACAACAGAAACTCTGCTCACAGACTCTGTAATGTAAAATACATTAATACATAAATTCTTTCCCTGAGTCACTACATGGAAAGCTATGGACACATTAATTCGAGTTAGTAATTTGCTCTATATTCAGTGCAGATGGTTTTGAACAGCTATATAACTTCACTACACTAGTCATTTCTCCCATTGCTGGGAAACAAATCTGATTTTTTGCCATGAATCCTGGAAAATCTGGAGATGGCTCTGACCAACCAACAGCAATTGCTCATGAGCCACAAAACTGGAAGGCAAATGGGTGCATACGGGTATTCACAAGGAATATCTAATCTCTGGCTACACATGTTTCTTCGTCTGCACTGATTTTCACACTAAAATGGTTTTGTGTGCATTACAAAATGCAGAATCCAGGAGGATGTGCCAGCTCCCAGATCCAGATGTGTGTTTTGGCCTGATCTTGCTTCCATTCTGAGGTGAGCCCTGGTATACAGACCCCGTCGGTGCCTTCCACGAGCAGGAAGGTCAGCTGGGTGGGCTGGAGGGGCTGCGGTGGCCTCCAGGCAGCTCTCTGCCTTGGAGGATCAGGAGGGACAGACCCCAGAATGTGGTTTTGAGCATATTGATCTGCAGCTAAGTAATGTGGGTTTGTTCTTCAAAAGTCCTGGTCCCTCAAAAAGACACAGAAAGTCCCATGCAATCAGTCCATGTCGCTTGGTCAGTGCCCCATTTGTAAGCTCAAGGGTGTGTTTTCTTACAGGTTCATGCAGAGTGTAGTATCTTACCGGTTAAATTACAGTGCAAGCACTAATGGTACACATGGGAAACGTGCCGAGAGACTACGACTGGATCAATCAAATAAACCCTACCTCAGCTCCTGTTGAAGTTTTCCTTTCAGTTGCCTTATTTCCCAAGGAATACATTAATAAGACTCCGGCAAACCTCCAGATGTACATTCAGGCCTTTGCATTTGTTGAACTAGGGATGAATTTAACCATCTGCATGTTTCCACCTGGAAGAATTCCTAGACTATCACAGGGCAAATTCTTCCCTACGCTGACCAGAAAAGGAGGATCCCTGCTCCTCTACAATTACTGCCTCATCTAAGAAATGAGCTTTACTGTGTTCACTTTCCCAAGCTTTCCTGTATTCATAATATTTACATTGGACATTAACGCCTTTCCTATTTTTTACCATTTCAAATTGGCACCTGGTAATCAGCTGAGGGAAATGAAGAGCAGCTGCACATTGCTTTTATTAACATAAATGTCCAGTAAGTGGCACTGCAGGACCAGGTTTTCCACAACCCTGGCTCACAAACAACACAGTCGAATAGAGTAAAGGCAAGCGTGGGTTATGTCAAGCCTTTTCTGCTCCATGAAAAAAGTAGTTGTAGAGCAGGTGGGAAATGATGTGTGGTGACGGGTCCGAAGGTGCAGCGCAAGAAACTGGGGTGTATTCAGCTGCGGGCTCTGGAAGATGGTGTTAAGAACTGGCCTTGGCACCAAGCTGGCGGTTATCAGGGGTTTGCCAGAAGAAGCCAGCGACATTTCTGGGAACTATTCATTAGCACTCACTTGATGGGAGGTGCTTGTGAAGGCTTTGTGCTGGGTTTTGCTATCAGGAGCAGAAATACTGGGCGAGGTGAACCATGTATATGCAGCATTTCTTATGGTCTACTGATTTACTATACATTAATTTTATCTAGAAAATCCAAACCCCAGACTGGAAGGGATGTCAGTGCAGTCTGAGGCATGCCCATAGGTTCAAAGATTATTTCTGTAAATGAGCTAGGGATTTCTGTGAGTCTGTGTCAGTGTATTAAAAAACCCACCACCCCGTTTTCCCAGTTTCAGCTGATGATGAATAAATTATTATCTAGGGAAATTTGGTCAAACAGAGAAGTAATACTACACTATTTGGCAATATATATTGTAATGAAACCCTTATATAAGCTGATAGAGGATTACTTACAAAATCAGTTAAGGGTTTTGGCTCCGTCTGCAGTATTTGAACCCAGTTTTAGGATACTCATGCTATACTGTGCCAAGCTAAATTGATTCATACCCAATTTTCCTATTTATCTAGATGGAAACATGCATAGTTATATCAGATAAGACTGGAAGGGAATGAACATGAAAAGCCGATCTGCATTTATAAGGGACATAAAGCTACGTTTAAAGGGATAACCCAGCCTTTCAAGGGGATTAGGAAGCCATTTCCTCTATGATGTGGCTATTTTATAAATGCCTCTTGTGGGATTGTTCGTGCCCTGAAACATCTGTGCCAGCTGCTGTCTGCAACAAGAGACGACTAGGCAGGCTGATCTGGGATAGCAATACGCAGCCGTGGATGTAGTATGGGGGCAAGAGGAGGCGTAGCACCCTCCCGCAGGGCACAGGGACCAGCCACAGGATCTCACAATTGCTTCAACCAGGCCTGACAAATTTTCTTTCATCATCCTCTAGGGACCAGATATCACTTCTTGAGTCTTTCCAACGACTTTTGAAAATAGCAATTAAAAATATGCGCTCTCAAATCTTTGTTCCTGCAACAATGTAGGATGGCGCTTGATAACCTCTGAGAGCACGCAGAA